CTGTAGCCACAGCGTGAGAGTGTACTTTCATGGTGTCCTCGATACCCCAGTGTACATTTAGACATTCTATACACTTGTTTCTTCTTTTTCTGGACAAATCAGATTGATTTCCTGAATTCAGTAATAGTGGACCTTCAGAGGAAGAATCAAGACCTCAAGATGAAGGTGGAGATGATGTCAGAAGCAGCCCTTAATGGGACTGGGGACGACCTAAACAGTTACGACAGGTATTTTATATTAAGCAATACTGATCAGAACCTTCGTTCCACCTAAATAAAGGTTTTTAAAGTTAAATTCTCCGGTGGATTGGAGAACACAATTGCCTTGGCCATAAATCGATTTCCATAAATCTGGCAAGAGAGTGATATAACCCTATAAATGGTTTGATGTGAAAATTTAAAATGTGGACTGTAGAACGTCTACTTGAGGCTCCCAGACTTGGCCATAATTAATTCTGCTTATTTTTTGTTCTTTGAGGGTGATACTGTCTCTTGAATTTCATCTGGTAGAGATGAGTTTCTGATTGTACATGTTAACATTTGTAGTGACGACCAGGAGAAACAGTCCAAGAAGAAACCTCGCCTCTTCTGTGACATATGTGACTGCTTTGACCTCCACGACACCGAGGACTGCCCCACCCAGGCGCAGGCGTCGGAGGACCCCCCCCACTCCACACACCACGGCAGTCGGAGCGAGGAGCGTCCGTACTGTGAAATCTGTGAGGTGTTCGGGCACTGGGCCACCCACTGCAATGATGATGAGACGTTCTGATGGGACCCCCAGCCCTGCTCCGGGCTTCTCAGACGCACTAACATGTAGGCGACGGAACACCAGCATCGTGTGTGCAGACTTCTGGAGAACTCACGTTATTTTTGACCCCCATCAACAAATCTAAGAACATATTTTGAGCTTCAATAAATCACCCTTTTAGTGTCCCCTTAGAATTTAAAATAATAAATACTTAGTAGGTGAATTTTCACCTCTGATTTTGTCTTGATTTTTTAAAAGTTCTAACAAGACATTGCACCAGATGCCATTACATTTACTGTCCCGAGGGAACCCTCCTAGAACAATCCCTACCCTCACAATACCTTATTTAAGTAACTTTAAATTATGCTATTACTTTTCATATTTGCACTAAAATTTTTCCAGGCTGCGTTTGTATATTTGGATATTTGGGTTAAGCTTTGACACTGGAATGAGTTGGAAAAATGTGCCATTTTGCATTTTCATCTACTCATTTAAAGTATTTTATTCTTAGAGAAGTATCTGAGCTCTTTGCACTACCTGATGTCAGTAGTGCCTTTATTTCAGGCTTGATAATACTTGGGTGTGATTATAATCATGAAACAGGTAAAGGGGGGGGAAGCCCCAAACTGCTGTGGGGACATTTTATAATCTATATGCTGCACCTACTCACTCTACTGTGGTGTTTTGTTCATTGGTTTTGCATAATTTCAGCTTCTATATATTATATGTATATATTTTTTAAAAATCTATATTTTGGGAAAAAACAATTTCTTTTCAGATTTTTACCTTTATGAAAAAGAAAACACATCAAGACATGATGGACTAGGCCAGAATATAACATCACGTGGCTTTGCAACTATTTTTTCTGTTTTCATTTTGTTTTCTTTAGCAGATACAAATAACTGGGAGAATTTTCTCCAGATTTATTTCTTCAGCAGATATCCCCAGCAGTCAATTAACTAGATAATAAGCCACTATAAAACACCTAAATTAACCAATCTACAACCTTTACAAGTTTTTTTTACTGTGTTTTTAGATGAATGTACGATGAGAAATTCAACATTAATAATTTTGGATTTTCTTATCACAAAAAATAAAATGAAGGACCTCAACCATCAGAAGTTTATCAACCAGTTTGAGTCTATTTATCTTCATTTGAATGTCTTCTAGAATATGTAAAAAGTAATAAATGTATCTTCCATGCTACATGTATAATAAGAACTTCTATAATTGTATATATGCCTTTGATGTTTTTTTCCCCTCAAGATTATCAAATGTGTGTCTGACAAGTGAAAAATCTGTAATGAGTTGAAATTTTTGGTTATAAACATATTAAAATACGAAGTGTTTCACAAACAGAATGTAAAGCAGTATTAAAATTTGAGCAAACAAGTGTTCTGTATCTACTTTAATAAATGGTTCTTTTTTGCCAGTGGTAGTAAACTGATATTATTCTCAGGTTTGTTTGTCAGTGTTTTTTCTTTAAATGAGCAAGCACTATATATCCAAATAGAAATTTCTACAGTCTTGTTGATAAACAGCCTTTTTTTTTTTAGAAAAAGACTGAAAAGATTTAATAACTCCCAAATTTTATGCTTATTTTTCCGATATATCAGTTTCCTGACATAGTTAACATAAGCAGGTAAATCTTTTCAGTAAATTGAGCAGTTGAAGACTCAAGCAAAAACCCAAGTCAAGACTCAAATGTCTTGAGGAACTCTGGCAAGTTACATATATCCCATGTTGCTCTTGGTTTCCTATCTCTTCTTTGCTTCAAACCCCCATGCAAGTTTCTTTTTTCGGGCAACCTGTGAATTTTCAGCGTCCTTTTTGGCTTTTACAAAGTTGTGGCAGGCAACTGCCTTGGCAATTTTTACACCAAGCTCTCAAGTAGCTAGCTGGTTGCTGAGTTCCTCAGCCTTCTCAGTGTTCCACTCTTCCACAGCCTGGCCTATGGTCTTTTCAAGGCCTGACTTGTCAATTTTTTTCTTTTTAACGGGGGGCGGGGAAGGGGGTGTCAAACCTATCATTGATTCCAAAATACTGAGTAAGCTCCTTCCACTGGGTTTCACTTGAGGTCTGTTCATTTTTGAGAATCTTCTTCATTTTTCAATTTACCTTTCCTGCAGCATTTTCTTTTTTTCCCTCTGAATCCTGAAGTTGAGGTTTTCTGTTGAATGTTTTTTAATGCAATTCTTGAAAGTTATGCCACATATTTAAGGGAATCCCAGAGAGGCATTCTTCATATGCATTTACATTTGCCTCTACTCCAGGCTTTTGGTCCATCAGTTGAGAAATCTGAGATCTCTGTTTCTGTAATGGCCCCATCTTCTTTATCTTCCTGTAAGTTAAATCCAGAGTTCTCTAATGGGGCTTCATCTTCAGAATTCAACCCAATATCCCTTTCATTTAGGCCAGGAGGTAGCAGCCCACTCCACATCTTTTCTTCCGTCAGGAGCCGGCCCCCTGGCAGCCATCTTAAGACCCCACCCGATAAACAGCTTTTAAGAAATCAATGTATCCCCATCTCAAAGCATCCTATGCACTTAACATAAAATAAATACTAAGGTTATTATCCATTGCTATATCACACTATACTACCTGACAGAAATATAAATGGCAGCAGGTAGTACCAACTATCAATCTATGACGTTTTAGAAAGAAACCCTGAAAGTTGCTGGGCTGTTCAGCAAAGTGATTACTGAACCAAACCTTTGTTTTATGAGCACAGACTCACCAACAGGTCGATACTTCCAAAGCAGAGTTATTAGTTGAACAAGCACATTACTTTAACCTAAATAATACCCTGACACTAGTCCTTGACTTCAGTACTAACCATAAGGGATTAAAAGACTCAAACTATAAACTTACTGTGGTAATCATTTTGCAATTTACACTTAGGTCAAATCACGTTGTATACCTGAAAATTATACAGTGTTACATGTCAATTATATCCATAAAAACTAAAAAGAACACTAAGGTCTGCAATATTTATAGGGCAACTACAGCAGTATAGTTTCCAAACATTGGGTCACTATGCAGGTTAAACACCTATGTTGATCATCTTCTAGCATCCTGATCCTGTCTGAGGAGGAGAGTTTATCATCCTGGTCTTGCTCATTTATACTCACGCATGCTTGGGATTTCACGAGCCTTGAGCATTTCACCTCTTAACTGTAAGTTGTGGCCTCATTTAACAGTTCATGACAAGGCCTGCTGAGCTCAACATGTACTCTCACAGATGGTGCTAAAATAATACACATTTTCAGCTGCGCAAAAAGCCTGCACATGTGACAAGAATTCGTGATACAGGTTGAGAACCACTGTGAAAACCGGGTTGAGAAATAGGGCGTGGAAATCTGCATGAGTGGAAATGTTATTTTAAAATCTAAACGGTTTTGATGAATCATGGAATTGAGAGTACAACTGTGTATATACGTATGATTGATTGATGGCTTTTCTGCATCATCCCCAAATTCTGCTCTTTGCTTACTCAGACTTCATGGTAGTTGTTTAGTGAGCCCTTTCTTCATAATATAGAGTGTATATAAAGAATTGAAAGGAGCCATCCACTCGAAGACCCAACATTTTCAAGCCTCTTTCACATCCCAAATAGTCAATTTCTACCCTCAAAGTATTGAAACGCACATATCCTCCTAAAACAATAGTTATTAAGCAATTAAGTTCCGGGCACCCTTCTAAGCTTTTAATATGAAACATGATGTAAATTCCATCTTTTTGATCCTCACAACTCACAAGGTAACATACGAATTTTACTGATGCAGTGGGAACTGGATTCCACGTGGGACAGTTATTTGTGTGAAATACCATGCAGTGGAAGTTTACCAGGAAGAGCTAAAGAGACGTCACATGACAGATTCCCTCGGCCGCTGTCCTTTTTTGTAAAGTTTAGCCTACAAACTAAGAGAGCAAAGCGAAGGGCTTTCTGATTGCTACAAAAGATTTCCATTAGAGTGGGTATGCTAAGAAGAAAGAGTAGGGTCCAGTCCCCGTCTCTCAACTCAATTCTCCGCGCCCAACGACTCCTGGACTGAGGCAAGGTCCGGATAGGGCCGGGGGTCTTGGGGGAGTGTCGGATCCGACGGGGAAGAAGGAAACGGCGGGCGCTAGGGCCAGGAAAGACAGCAGACGTCGGCCCATTCCAGTTTCCGGGTTTGCGTGCTCTGTCAGCCGCCTCGGTCACGTGACGGCGCTGCCACGTGACCGCGCCCGTGGGCTTAGCCGGGAAAGGGGGCGGCGGGGCAAGATGGCGGCGCACCTGTCTTACGGACGAGTGAACCTGAACGTGCTGCGCGAGGCGGTGCGTCGCGAGCTGCGCGAATTCCTGGACAAGTGCGCGGGAAGCAAGGTGAGGGACGGGAGGCGGCGGCAGTGCTTTCCAGCCGCCCGTCCGGCCTGGCCTAATCCAGTGCTTGACCGCCTGAGCTCCAGGTGTACGAGGTCCCTGGGACTTCCGAGGAGGGGAACAGGTGGGACCAGTGAGGCGGGGAGAGGGACCTGACGGTGGGTCCTGAGGCACACAGTCCGCAGAGTCGGCGTGGCATAGCAATTGTTTTGTTGCAGCAGAGTAAGCCACTGTGGTATCTCAGTTCCTTGTGAACCACCTATGTCAGGTGCCCTTCAGGTCCAGAGGGGCAGGTGTGGTGCCCCCTGAGATCCGGACGCGTGGGGCGGGTCCGGCCCAAGGACGTAGATGGTCCAGTGCCCGTGCATTGCGGCGATCATGCGTGTCGTTGCATATCGAACCGTCGAAAGTCTCTGAAGCTCCAACAGCTTACAGCCTGCTGCTCACACGGGCTATGAAAGAAGTTTAGAGTTATTTGAGGTTTTAACGTGGCCATTCTGAGGATTGTTTCTCCTGTTGGACGTTTACCACCAGTCAGCTCACAACTGAGTGAGAAATTGTAGATCAGAGACTTGATAGGATTTCTTCTAAGCGGTGTCACCTTTCTCCTCTCCCCTTAGGATTTATCAGGCCCCCTTAAGTAATTGGCAGTACAACTCCGAGAAGAAAAGGAAAACTGGGGAATCTCAACAATCAGTCGTAGGAAGAATAAAACCCCAGGAGACAGAGTGGGTACTAGCAGCCATTGAGAGAAAAAAAAGCAGGCTAAGTCCTAGGTGCCCAGTTCAGGCTCAAGAAATGACACTGAAATCTGAATAAGATCATGGATTGGATCAATGTCAGTATCCTGGATGTAATATTGTACTCTGGTTTTGCAAAATGTTACCATTGGGGGAAACTGGGCAGAGCATACAAGGGCTCTCTGTATTATTTCTTACAAATAAATGTTAACCTACAGTTATCTCAGTAAAAATTTCAGTTAAAAAAGAGAAGGGGGCACCTGGGTGGCTCAGCCAGTTAAGCGTCAGACTTGATTTCTGCTCAGGTCATGATCTCAGGGTCATGGGATCGGGCTCCGTGTTGGGCTCCAAGTTGGGCTCCGCACTCAGCACGGCGTCTGCTTGACATTCTCTCTCTCCTTCTCCCTCGCCCCGTGCACTCACTCACACTCTCTTTCTCTCTCTCTCTCCCAAATAAATAAATCTTTAAACAAAACAAAAAATCAACAGTATCATCACTTGTCCAGATGCTGGTTTTTCTTTAGACCTATAAGATATGAATGTGGCTAGAGCCAATTAAAATTTTTGTTAATTCAGAGTTTGAAGCAAATATTCCTACTACGTATGACTGCTGTTTCCTGTGGGTGTTGTTGAAATTCCTGACATTAACCATAACGAGAGTATTTCTCCTCTTCTCCTACAGGCAATAGTTTGGGACGAGTATCTCACAGGACCGTTTGGCCTGATTGCACAATATTCACTACTGAAGGTAAATGAGCTATTTGGGTTTTGTTCAGGCATTAATAATTCTAAACTTCAGCAATAATAGGATTTTACATTTTCTCCCGAGTAATTGGCAAAGCTCTCTGGTCTTTATAGACAGTGATACTAATGCATGTCTAACATTCTTTATACAGTGGTCCATTGGCCAGTGATTTTATGCTGATCCTAATTCTAGGGAAATTACTAGCTTTGTATTATGTGACCATTACCTAGTGTCACTGACAATTCCTTGTGTGAGAGTCATTTGAATTCAGGTGCAGTAGCAGTGACTTAATCCTGAAAATTTTTCCTTTATACATCTGGCTTTGGGGAAACTAAATTTTGCTAATCAAGTAATAATGTCATTTGGCTGGGAGTGTTAATGATGTCTGAATCAGGATAGGATAGGTAAAGTTCAGGGTTTTTGTTAACCTTTTGTGTATTTGTTTTCCTAGGAACATGAAGTGGAAAAAATGTTCACACTTAAAGGAAGTCGTTTGCCCGCAGCTGATGTCAAGAATATTATCTTCTTTGTCAGACCCAGGCTAGAACTGATGGATATAATTGCCGAAAATGTGCTCAGGTATCTCTCAGAGCTTATGTTTGGTCCAAAAGAGGTTGGTTCTTCTCATGGTTTTAACGTCCTGAGCCTCTTATTGCAATTCTTCATCTTGCCAGTGCATGGAAAGGTGGTCTTTTAGAAAACAGGGCAGGCGTGAAAGAACATAAGAGGGCAGATGGGAAACTCATGAAGTTGTTCAAACAGTTGGAGAAGGGGGGCAACATATAACCCCATTTTCAGGGCAGCTAAAATTGAGACCTATATCAATAGAAAGGACTCTGATTACAAAACCAAAACCCCTAATGGTTATTTTTCAATACACTCAATATAGTATGCTTGAATTTCATAAGCAAAATAAGTATGAGCTGATTAAAATTTAATATAGCATCCAATCTGTAGAGGAAGTTCTCAGCCCCATCTGCACTCTGTGGTACAGTTGATTGATGTGGCCCTTAAGATCTTAAAAGCATATGGGATATTTTGGGAAGTCCACTGTCAAGGAGACTAGACCTGGGAGTCAAGAGTGATCTTTCATTTTCCTGTAAGACTGTGTCACTGCATTGGTGGGGTTAAAGAGTCATTTGTTTTCAGTAAGACACAGATACCCTGTTTCAATAAACCTGAGAGCTTTAAAGCCCCATAAATGGTTTAAGAGAAAGCTAGAAAATGCATCACGGAACACTGGCTGTGAATCAATGCCTCTTTCCTGTCACGGAAAAAGAGAGCAAAGGAGCAACTATATAACAGTTTGGACCTGGAAGTCAATATGTGTATGTTTATCTGACCAGCATTTATTTAGTGCCTGCTGTGTGCCAGGCCGCGGGCCAGGCGCTGGGAATAAAATAAGTGAAATAGGCTACGACTCATAGGCGCTTGTAAGCTAACAAATGTTACTTCATTTGCAGTGAAGACAGACGTGGTCCAACAAGAGATTTCCACATTTTGTTTGTGCCGCGACGTAGTTTACTGTGCGAACAGCGGTTGAAGGATCTGGGTGTTCTGGGATCCTTTATTCATAGGGAGGAGTACAGCCTTGACCTCATTCCATTTGATGGGGATCTCTTATCCATGGAATCGGAGGGTGCATTCAAAGTAAGTTTGACATTCTCCTTTTTATTTTTTTTATTTTATTTTTTCCAAAGATTTTATTTATTTATTCATGAGAGACAGAGGGAGAGAGAGAGAAGCAGAGGGAGAAGCAGGCTCCCAAGGAGCAGGGAGCCTGATGCGGGACTCGATCCCAG